CGAACCATTATGTGAATTTAAATTCATTTCGTGAAGCCTTTTGATAAGGCATTCTGCCCAATGTTTCTGCTGGTATTGGTAATTGGTATTGGTATTTTCATTAGATAATTATCTTTTAATTGTTTCAATACAGGTTACAGAAGACCAAAAACTATTAAGGGAAAAGGTTCGACATCTGAGTGGAGATGCTGGTATTCAGCATATGGAAATTGCACTATCTGAAACACGATCTAGGTATTTTCAAGCTAAGGAAAATGGAAGTCCAGTAGGGTCTCCAATCATACATTTTCTATCTCCTAGCATGCCCCCATCTTCTCCTTCTGTTACTGGCCCGGCTAATAGAAATAATGTGAGTGATGGTATTGAGAGGCCTAGACGTGTAGTTCGCTCCCTATTCAGAGAAGATACCTCATCAGCAAAAGAACCTGCTTCCTCTGCAACTAGCAGCAGCTACTTCGATGGCCAGTCACGTTCTGCTGTTGAGAAATCAATAACAGAGAATGAATTGATCATAAATGAGTTTCTCCATGAGCAACGCCGTAGTTTTAAGGATAGGTTCAATCGTGCTGACAAAGATGAAAACAGCCTCAAGGTTAGTGCATTAACACAACTATGATCATTAACCAATAATCAATCTATTTGAACATAATGAAATTGCCATAAATATATCTCCATTGATTTCATTACTTATTTTTTCATTTAATTATTTTGTTTCCAGTATGCCTTGCCAAGGGAATAATGGTTGCTTTTATACAGCCCCTGGTGATATGAATATGCTGCTTTATGGAAGTTTTTTAAAAAAAGATTTAAAGTTTTTTGTACCCTGTCCAGATTTCACTGAAAATGCTACCCGTAGGCTGTCGATAATAGAACTTTTGTCTCTTAGTTTTCCACCAACCAGGTTTTGAGTTGAGATTGAGTTTAGAAACTAATTTTCCCTTCTTACCTCATTACTTTCAGGCAAAGGTGAGAGAGACAATGGAGTCAGCTTTCTGGGATAGTGTTCTGGAATCCATGAAACAGGATGAGCCCAAGTATGAGTGGGTAGTTCAGCTTGTAGGGGAGGTGAGGGATGAAATTCAGGAGCTGGCTCCTGAGAGCTGGAAACAAGAGATTGTTGAAAGTATTGATCCAGATCTTCTTGCTCAGGTGGGTATCTTTTTCAACTACTACTAATATAGGTTCTTGTTTCTGTTGTGATACTAAGTTACCTTCACTTATTATTAGGTTCTGAGGTCAGGTAACATGGATGTTGGTTACTGTGGGAAGATTCTAGAGTTCGCATTAGTTACTTTGCAGAAACTCTCCTCTCTAGCCCATGAGGATGAAATGAAGGCCCTGCATCAGAAAATGTTAAAAGAGTTGGCTGAGACTTGTCAAACCCAAGATGAATCGAAGTATTCACATATTGCCACATTGATCAAAGGTCTGCGCTTTGTGCTGCAGCAGATACAGGTGTGCATATTCATGGCTTCTCTTTTGTCTTGCTCTTCTCTCACGTATGTCTATTCTGATTCATCTTCATGGAACTTATTTCTGGTCCTTTCAGACAATGAAAAGTTTCCTATTTATTATGTACGTTGTGGATAATATCTGCTGGAATGTCCATATAAAAGAATATGAGCACCTCTCCACTGCCTATTTCTGTACTGTATGTGATTTCTTAAGAACTTCCCTGCAGAAACCGTTCATTAAGTTGATTAATAAGCTTCTCTATCCCACTTCATCAAATGCAAGTTATAGCTTATGTTTGTTAAGTACACTACTAGCTCAAAGGCTAAAAATCAACTGCTTGACATTCATTATATTATTTTTTCCTGTTCGCTGCTTGGTGCTTGTTTGGCCATCGTTTTCTTTTCTTGCTGAACTTACTAAGCTTTTGAGAGTTATCTGAATGATCTACCTATTCGACAGGCTCTTAAGCAAGAGATTAGTAAAGCTCGCATAAGAATGATGGAGCCTTTGTTAACAGGTCCTGCTGCATTGGATTATCTTAGAAAAGCTTTTGGCAACCATTATGGGTCTGATTCGGATGCCTGTAACTCTCTACCACTGACAATGCAGTGGCTTTCATCTGTAAAGAGTAGTGAAGATCAGGAGTGGGAAGAACACAAGAATTCTCTCTCTGCTTTGAAGAGCCACGACAGTTCATCACGGGTTTTTGTACCTCTCACCACCCTTAGAACTGGTGGAAGCTTTCTGGTCAAAACAAATGAAAGCGCAATTGGTTCTTCTTCAGTTACTTTTGAGACAGGTATGGGAGCTACTTCGTAAAAACTCTAAAACTTGACACAATATCAAGCTCTTTACAAGGTTGACAGGAATTGTTTTGTCATGATGTATGCTTGTTTAGTTGCTTGCTTGAAAAAGAAATGCTTCAGCTATCTTCTATATAGTAACTACATTTTCCCAACGACCTCATTTGGTTTCCTGTTTCAATCAGATAACCAACAACCAGAACCGGAATGCACTGGTGAAAGAGTTGATTTGTTGGTGAGGCTAGGATTGTTGAAGTTAGTGAGTGGAGTTTCTGGTCTAACAAAAGAAGATCTGCCTGAAACTCTTATGCTAAACCTGTTTCGGTTGAGGGCTGTGCAGGCTCAAATTCAGAAAATTATTGTAATTTCTACCAGGCATGTGATCCACCTTTGGAATGTCACTTCTTAATTTTCTAATAACTCAATGCTCTTTGGAGACTGGTTTGAAAGATGCTTTCTCTTCATTATTATTTTCATATTTCCATTTTTTGGGGGTCATTGTCATCTTTGCATCTTTATTTGATGCAAGTGGGTTACTAATTGATCTGAAACTCCACAATTTGCAGCATTCTGGTTTGCCGTCAAACGCTCCTGATGGAGCAAGCAGTAACCAGCAGTGCAGACATGGAAAGCGTCCTGTTAGAGTGCAGCAATAAACTGTCGGAAGTCCTGGACCGTGTTGATGATGTGGGTATTGAAGAAATAGTTGAAGTAGTTAGTGGGTTGTTGCAAGTTGATAACAAGGTAGTTGATGAGGAGAAGCTTAAGCCAAGAAAGATAGTCATGTCTAGGATGTTAGCGAAGAGCTTGCAGGCTGGGGATCCGATTTTTGAAAAAGTTTCCCGTGCTGTCTATTTGGCTCTAAGAGGAATTGTGCTCGGGGGCAGTGGACCCTGGGGAAGAAAATTAGTAGAAATGGCACTCAGGCAGATTGGAGCTGTCATGCTGACTAAAAGAGTGGTGGCAGCTGCTGAAGTATTAGTGGTGGCAGCCACCGTATCCACTGGCATTCACAGGCCATGGTATGTAAATCTGACCGATAACCTGTGATATATTTGTGCATGCCGTAAGAAGAGAATAAATAAATGCATGCACTGTGTACAGAGAAATGCGTGAAAAGCTTATGATTAATTGAAGTCGTAGATGCCTGTAGATGGAATAAACGTGGGTTTGTAATTTGAGAATTCTTTGATTTAATGGAACAAGAAGCTGTAAATTGTATTTAAGATGATATCGAAGATCTGCACCGTATGTGGATGTATTTGCTTGTAAGAAAACGCTGTCGTATTTGCAACTATTTTTCAAGATGGTTCCTCTCCGGCATCTCATTAAACGAAATCCTTGCCAGCTCTAGCTCACCGCCTTCAACATATCCATTATCCATACTCGTCCAAGAGAACACATCACTAACTCCCAAGCTTGTAAAATTGATTAGATTTTGAGTTTTATATTTCCAGTTTTACATGTTCGTGAAAACTCTTCGCTCATCTCAAACCCATCAGTCATGGACAGAAAGTCCATCTCTAGCAGGAATTCCATAAGTACGAGCATGATTTATACCTGCAGTGTGAGAGAGGGCAAAAGGCCAGGGCAAGACAAAGCTTGGCGGTAGATTAGCCAGACTATAAAGGAGAAGGACTTATTTGTACTTGTTCCAAGATTGTGTTTTCTCAATTGAAATAAAATGTTTTAGTTTCACAGCATTTGATAATATGGTTTTTATTTTAAGAGAGTACTGTTTATATATATATATATATATATAATTCAACAAATTTAATTTCAACTCAAATTCACATATAAATTATAAAATTTAAATTTCAAAATTATAATGCAGCTTACTTAAGGTAGGGTGCACTGGGGTGATGCGTCTTTCCCTTGCACAACCAGTCCCTTACTCAGACTCTCGCAGACCATAGGTTCCTAGTAATTATAATACTAGGTGGCGACTCCAAAAAACCAAGCAAAACAAAAATAATAACAAAAAAAGATCTTCAGCCGACGCCGCGTGGATTTTTTTGACGTGCAACACCCACCATCAAATCTCCAGCCTTTCAGAACATTCGTTCCTATCATCTCCATCATCGTTGCCGACCACCACCCTATTCTTCTGGCCTTGAGACCACTACTGGCCGATCAGGCCACACACCATCTCCTCCACCAGACTCACTTTTAGACGCCTATAGCCCCTCACTTCCTTCTTTGTTGCTAAGACAACCACAACTGTCGTCTCTATTTTTTACATTGAAAAAGTAAAATTAAAATTTTGTCCAAGGACGTGCAAAAGATAAGTGTGGGGGAATTTGATAAGAGAAAAATACACATATGTTTTTTTTCTTTTACACTATGCTTCTTAATGTATTCTCATGCAAAACTTTAATGTACAAATGTTTCCATATTCTTAGTTGTTCTCTTCTTACCATCTTATAGGTTTTAACTCTTTTTTCAAAACCATTAGGATTTGTTTGATGAGTTTGCTTCATTTTCACTAGTTCTTAAGCATTTCCCTTTACAATTACAATTTTGTGTGCTTGGAATTCAAACCATCATTGAAATGAATGGAACTATGTTGCACCCTTTGCACGACAAACACAAATCGACAGCGTAATTTCACTTATTCTTTGCTCTTACTTTTTGATAGAGAATGGTACTTTAACAGGCTGTTTGTGAATATAACACATGATTTATCTTAGCTAATTAGATGTTGCTTGACACGACTAAACGATTGATTTTTTTTTCGATTATTGTATAACAATCAACTTTCTTTGCGTTTGCTCGAGGTCTGGGCCAATTTTGATGCTTTCTGTGAATCCCTCCATCTGGGCTTATCAAAAGAGGACGAGGAAAGAAGTAAGTTCCTCTTCTCAGTTATGTATGATATGGTTTCAGTGCTTCTTTATTGAATTACTCTCTGTGAATTTTGAAGGACTAGACGTGTTTCAATTCAATACTGAGCTAGTTTCTTGATGGTTGCTTGCTTGCTTGCTTCAAACTTCTTTACAAAAGAAAAAGAAAAGAAAACTGTCCTCTTGAGACATCAAAAAACCAATCCGTAATACAATTGGAAGGAAAGGGGAAGTTGGAATCTGGAGTTCATGTTACAATTGCTTTGCTTAAACAAATCCGTTGCAGCTAGGGTTGTGTTTTCTCAATTGAAATAAAATGTTTTAGTTTCACAGCATTTGATAATATGGTTTTTATTTTAAGAGAGTACTGTTTATATATATATATATATATATAATTCAACAAATTTAATTTCAACTCAAATTCACATATAAATTATAAAATTTAAATTTCAAAATTATAATGCAGCTTACTTAAGGTAGGGTGCACTGGGGTGATGCGTCTTTCCCTTGCACAACAAGTCCCTTACT